ATCACATACGTACGCACATAAACACACACAAATACACGTGCTCCGTCCTTACTTTCTGCTTCCTGTAGTCCTGTCCTATACTTGTGGGGTGGAAGTTTCCATCGTCGACCTCGTTTATGCGTTGATCTTGGGTTGAAAGGAGGAAGTTACAAAGTGGATGCAGAAAAATAACAATGTTTTTCCGTACAATGAATATTTGAGAAGAGAAACTGATAAAGAGTGGGTTGAAATTGTAGTTTTGTTTGTTCAGGTGGATATACAGGAATGGAAATGTACGAATTTTTAAATTTGCAAATTCTAAAGTCTTCAAATTTTCTACTATTCAAGTTTCCAAATTTCCAACTTCTCACGTCTCCAAGTGTCCAAATTTCTAAGATACTATTTCTGCAGTGAAAGTAACATTTTCCTTTCTAAAATTAAAGTCAATATTTTCTGAAGAAATTAATTAAGAAATTGAGTGGAAAGATTCTTGTACTTTTATTTCTTTTTTTTTTTTGTGGTTTGTTTTATTCTTTTCTGCGAAAGTTTGAATTCTTTGTTGTAGCTTCAGGAGGGTGTTTGTTCGTTTTAATGCAGTTACATACTTTGCACTTCTGATTTTTCAAGGACGACGTATCACAGAGGAGGAACAAAACGTACCTTGCAATCAACCCATGAATTTCGTCCAAAAACGCATTTCTTCTTTTTTTACGTCCGTGCTGGAGATTCGACCATGTAATCCTTGTATATTTCCTTAACCATTTGTGGTCCAAATCCAGTCACTTCCGGTTCACGGATATTCTCCTGTTTCTTTTTTTATATGTTGAAAATATTACAACGAATGTTTCTGTAGATTTATTGTTGTTAATTTTATGGCAGAGGATAGAAGATTTAATTTTCCCAGGAGAGAAAAATGGCGGACCACAAATGGTTAATGAACAAAAGACAGACTCGAAATAGAAAAATTTAGCGATTAGGTAGAGATTATTTTGTAGAATGCGTGTGTCCAAGTTGTACAGATACACATATACATATAAATACATATGTATATATCTATATTTTAATTACGAGGTATTTATACATAGACCAAGCGGAAAGGAAGATGGCCGCGACCTGTCACTTCCGGTATATGGCTGTATCGATTGATTTCCGCGATGTTGCACCGAATGTCGCGAATATGGCTGCGTATATTATTAATAAATTGTACTTCACTTTTTAAACCGTTTCTTTTCTACCTGAATCCAAAACATTTATTAATTTTTCAAATTTTCAAATTTTCAAAATTTCC